CTACCTCTCCAAAATCAGCACTTCAGAGGGGCCGCTATCAGAGCTCGAGAATACAATCACTGTGACTGTTCCTGGGCTGAACGAACCGTGTCCGCTGCACGCCGCGGTGCCCTGCCGCTCCCCCTCAACAGCCCACGCTTTGGGTTCGTTACCTTGGCAAAGAGCTTACGGTTAGCATCTGGGCAATCGCTGAATACTGTCACTGTTGAGTTACTCACGTCTTTGGTACTTAATTCAGTAGCCAGAGATTATTTGAAACTCATCCTTGCCATCCATGATTAGTAAATAACTCCTGTATTTTGCAGAATCAATGTCATCGAAGTCGGTTTGTCCTCATGCTCTGTGTTCCTTTTTCTTCTGCAGTTCCTGGCTGCCCCAGACGGTTCTACTCCGGGGAAGTCACTGGCAGAGCTCGCTGCTGGCGTTCCGGGCATCGCTCCCCATGAGGTGGGTGCAGCTGCCACGGAGCTGCGCAGAGGTGTTTTCCTCCTTAGGGAACACAGATTTTCCCCCAAGTTCAAATTAACTTTTAACTACAGATGTTGGCTTTTAAGTCACTGCATGTAAAAGTAGTTAACAAGTGTTGAGCTCTTGAGGAGAGTTTAATGGTAACTGACCCAGTTATCACGTTATGCTTGTGTGTAGTTGTATTTGCTTCCTCAGCCACAGAATGTGGTTGGAGATGTTTGGATTTAAGCTGTGCTCCAGAATTCCCTTTTGAGCAGCAATGGAAATGAAAGCCTAGCTGAACCAAAAACACTTTTACTATAAAGTGGTATATAGACAGCCCACTTTTATGTATATGTTACATTTTGGTATCCATGTTTTCTTTTAATGCAACCACATTTAAAATATCCTGGTAGCTATTAGGTACCATCAGCGAGACTGTTTCAGTGCATAAAGGTTGTTTGTTTGATCTGCAAGGCAGGAATAATATCCCACTGGTCCACTGTGAGCATTAGTTTGTATTTCTGGAGCGTGCCACACATTATTTTGGGTATACTGGATCTGTATGGAGAAGTACAACAGGAGAGTAACATCTGCACCTTGAGTTTGGTTCCAAATGTGGAAATTCTAGAAGCATGTGTAAAACCACTCACTCTCTGCTGTAATGTGAGATGACAATAATATTTGCAGATAAACCTGTTACCTGCTCTGCTGCAATCTAAGCTAGTGCAACACAACTCCAGATAATTTTTTGTGGAACTTCCTCAGGTCATTCTGATGTTCAGCACTAAATTGGAAGTTGCTTTTCTCAGGCAGGTACTGTTCTCTTCAGAAAATCTCACAAGACATATTACTGTCTCCTGGAAATTACATTACTTGAATAAAGCTAATGGCTGGAACTTCTGTTAGGGACCATAATAAGCAATGGGAAGGAACAGTCCTTAGAAAAGTAAAGTAGAAGTGAAAGGTGCTGTTGAATTAAATGACAAAATATCTTACTTCCTTAATGCAATTATTTCCCTTGCAGAGCACAACCAAAGAAGAAGAAGAAAGTGGATGTAAAGAGAGAGCAAGCACAGAAGGATCGTATGAAAAAAAAGATTAAAAAGTTGGAAAAAGCTGCTCCAGAAATGATTCCAATTGAGGATTTTATAACACCACTGAAGTACTCGGATAGCAACAGGTAAGCAAGCCTGCTTTTCATCACCATGTGCTTGCATTCATGGTAGAAACACTGCTCATTTCTTTCATTTCAATACTGCAGTATAATGCCAGCGTTGGTACAAAACCTTACCTCTTTCTACCAGGACAAAAATGTGAAAAGCAAATTTTATTCGCTTCTGATAAAAGTAGTAAAAAAATAATAACATGAATTTCCTGTTATAATGACTGTGGAAAACCTCAGAGACAGACATTGCAGGCATGAAGTGTATTCTCTGGTTTTGGTGGGGGTTTTTTGGTTCTGGTGGAGGCGGGTTTTGAGGTTTGGTTTGGTTTTTTTTTTCAATTTGCTCTTTGGGGTGCAGGCTATTTCTCTAATACAATGTTATCTTATTCATTATCAGGGTGCGAAGTCTTCCCCCTCTGTCATTTGAAGAGACTGAAAGAAGAGTTTTACTTATGAAAAAGTGGTGTTTGTTTAAGCAAAAACAAGATAAGGCAGAAAAGAAAGCAATTCAGACCCTTGTAGAAGCTCAACAAGAGGCACTAAAGGAACTGCGTCTTGAATCCGAGGAGCTGTATCAGGCAGCAATCAAACGAGATGAGGGGCTTTTCCCCTTTGAGAGAGATGGACCTAACTATACCCCACCGCTTCCTGGTTACGATCCTCCTGAAGGAAAATCTGTTGATATCACCAAGGTGTATACACAGTGATGGGGGAGTTTGTTGTTCATCTGGCATGAGCTCCTCAGCCAACTGGAGGAGGAAAGAATGGAATAAGGATAAACAATTCCTTCTGCAGGCTAAAATACTGTAGGTGTGTGACTGTAAATAAAACATAAATGAAGTATGTTTGTTTGGGTTTTTTAAATGGCTACCCAGGTAATAAGACACCCAACAGAACTACACTACCTTACCCTTTTGCCATGACAGAACAAGACAAAGAAGTGGTATTTCAGGGTATTTTATCTTTCTGGGATTATATCTCTCATCCCTCTGTACACTCCCAAATCAGCATTTTTTTGTTCTGCATGAACTGTAATGTGGAAGATTCCTGTGGTATGAGGAAAGAACCTCACAGTCATCACATCAGAGCCTGCACTGTAAGGGAGGTAGCAGCTGTTTCCTAACTTTCTTTTCAGACTTCAGTGAAGTACTTTTGCATCTAAGAGGGAAAACAGATGGAAAAGATACCGTGATAAAGCCAAAATTAAGGGGTTTTTTTATATTGCCATGGAACTATTGTAACTAAGTTTCTAAGGGGTTTGCTCTAAAACAAAACAGCTCTCTCTTCATTCATTTAAACCTTTTATTTTTGTAGTAATTTTGAATACTGCCATCAGCACACACCACCCTTTCAGAGGAGTTCCACAAAGGGGCAGGGTTGCAATTTCAGGGTCTGCAGCATCATCCCACCGGGTGAGAAGCTGTGACATGACAATCGTGAACCTAGGAAATGCCTTTTAATGCCAGGGGTTGTGATTGTCCTGAACTGGCAGGCAGGACTCCCAGCCTGCTTTTGTCTTCCCATCTGGCAAGCCTGGGGTAGGTACCTTGTTCAAAAGTGCGTCCACACCAGCTGGTAGAGAAAGAGATCCTCCTCTAGTAAGAGGAGCTACATAATGTAGGCATTAATTTGGGAGTTGCCTGCTGAGTTGCTGAGATGAAATCCTACAGTGTAAGACAGCAGCAAAAGACCAGAATCAAATTAAGGACCTTAACGCTCAATTTAAAAAATACTGTGTGTTTAAATAAACTCTCAGTATTTTTGAATGAGGACTAAAATATTGCAGGGCAGAGCTACAGTTGTATAATTTCAAGATGACACAGAAGAAAAAACCCCAGCATAGTTCTGCACTGTGAATTACATTACTGACCAAACACAGAAAACCAGTCTTGCTAATTTGGTTTGTCTTGCTCAAGTGGAAGATACCAGTCAGGCGGTGGGCTCTTCCTGAGCGTCCACACTGGAGCGTATTTCTGTTTTTCCATAACTCGAGCTCTTTCACTCTTGCACAAAGCTTCCTGAAATACAAGAAAAAAATATTACCACAATAGTGTTGGATGCTCCGGTCTTACAGATTTTTTTGTGACCATTTGAGATAAAACAAGGAAAATAAATTTATCGTGCTTAAACAGAAGTGCCAAATGCTGTGTAAGTAAGCCAGGATACAAGCTTTTCACTATGTCACATTTATGTTTTACCTTTGACTCCCCCTTACGCACCACCCTCCCCGCCAGCAGCTGTCCCGGCTGGCTGAAAGGACGCACTAGCTGCCGCCTGGGCTGCAGACAGGAGCATTTCTGGATGCCTGAGGAACACTTTTTCATAGAATGGCCTGGGTTGAAAAGGACCATAGTGATCATCTAGTTTCAACCCCCCCGCCATATGCAGGGCCGCCAACCACT